CCAATAAACTTCATAAGGATATATAATGGCGTACGCAGGACTTCATTTTCTCCTTGTTTAAGTAACTTTCCAAAGGGAAAACTAATAAAAACGTAAGCGAGTAGCCATAAACGCTAGGCGTATGTAAACAACCCGTCCGCAAGCAAAACAAAATTGAAAATTTTAGGTTAGTTTGTGTTAGTGTCGTTGAGCCACTCGTTTATTTTTTACTAAATTTCACGGGCTCCCTTATAAGAGAAATGGTTAGATTGAGAACTCTAGCGGTTAAAAAAACAAAACATAGTTATAAAGCCGATTTGACAACGCTGCTAGCATTTTGACCATTCCTACTGTTGCCATAGTGATGTGTTTACCTGGTTTGCCATTAGCAGATGTTGTGAGCGTCACGCTTTAAGGATCGAAATTACGTATTGCGTATTTGTTTTTCCGTACAAGTGCAATGTCTGACACTGACGGTAAGAGCTATTTTTACAATGTTCGCCTAGTTTATGTTGGATTTTTGCATTTTTTTGTAGGATGACATTGTGAAGTGTTAACCAGTTTGAGTAAAAATGTCACTGCGAGCCATCGGTGGCAAGCTGATAAAACATGGAACAACCATCATCAAGCAAGCAAACAGGGGCAAAGTCCCAGGGAAACCGCCAACCAGGGCCATTTGCCACTCTGTAGCCCCCCTTAAAAGCTCGGCGCCCGTTCGTGAAAGTGAATTTCTCCAACGGAACAAGTACTATGTATTTCGGAATCTGGGCATTCAGGTCACCCAAAAGGCCAGACGTGTGCTAATCGAGGATGTGCTCAATCGGGTTGGCAACAAAACGGAGTCGGGGGTGTTGCACAAATCCCCGCGCAACAGCTTCTTTGGGAATTCTGCCCCTCTATTGAGTCTGGTTGGCGTTGCCGCCGTTGGTCAAGGATTGCTAACCAAGGATGAGGAGCTGGAAGGTTTGTAATCGAGTTATTACTTCTGTTTTATTAACAAACTACAGATACAGTTCTTGTTATCCAACAGGCGTTTGTTGGGAGATCAGACAATCCATGTCAAAAATCCAATGGAACCGAATGTTCCACCCTGCACAAAACACCGCTGAAAACAGTCCGATGAACTTGGAAGGTTTCACTTTCGGCAAACCCATAGCCAAAGGCGCCAATGCTGTGGTTTATGAAGTAGCCACAAACATCCCGAATAATGTCGGTGGCAGTACTGAGTTTCCACTCGCTCTGAAAATGATGTTCAACTATGACATCCAGTCGAATTCTTTGGCCATTCTTAAGGCAATGCACAGAGAAACCGTCCCGGCCCCAGTCTACTTTAATTGCCACGGGATTGCCGATTACGAACTCAGTTTCCTCAACATGACAAGGCATCTGCCTCCTCATCCTAATATTGTGAAGATTTTGTCGGTTTTCACCGATTATATCCCCGAGCTAGAAAAATGCCGGGAAATGTACCCAGCGGCGTTGCCCAAGAGGATCGACCCCGCAGGGGAAGGCAGAAACATGTCGCTGTTTATACTGATGAACAGGTTTGTAATCAGCCCAAGTAATCATCCAAATTCCGGTAACATTTGCGTGTTTTCAGATACGAGAGGAACCTTCAAGAGTTTCTAGACCTCCAAGACGAGCTCTCATTGCGAACCTCCGTGGTTTTGCTCACTCAACTCCTGGAGGGCGTAGCCCATATGGTGGCACATAACATTGCTCATAGAGATCTTAAAGCCGATAACATCCTTCTGGACTTGAGCGACGCAAAGACGCCATTGGCAGTGATAAGCGATTTTGGGTGTTGCCTAGCGGAAAAATCCACCGACTTGTCCGTATCTTACACGACCTTTGATATAGAGAAAGGTGGAAACACCGCCCTGATGGCTCCAGAGATCATCAGCAAGAAGCCAGGGCCTTTCAGCAAACTGAACTATCACAAATCGGACCTGTGGGCGGTTGGGGCCATTGGCTTTGAGATATTCGGCTTGCCCAATCCCTTCTACGGCGATAAAACAGTGAGACTGAGCAGCATGACTTACAGCGATGAGGATTTGCCTTCGTTGCCTCAAAGTGTGCCAGCGATTTTTAACCGACTGTTAAAAAACCTGCTAAGGCGCGATCCTGGAGAGCGTTTAAACGCGGAGATTGCCGCTAACGTGTGTCAGCTGTTCTTGTGGGGCCCGAGCTCTTGGCTGGCCAATGCCAGCAAGTTTCCCTCTTATGGAGAAATCGTGGAGTGGCTCTTGAATCTGACCGCCAAAGTTCTATGCGAGAGCGGCAGGAAGCAGGGAAATCGGCACAGTCTCACCTATCCTGAGTATTTGCTTATTTCCACTTTCCTGTGTAGAGTGAAGCTGCAAAACATCAAAGCGGCTCTGGCCTGGATCCGCGACGATGAAATTTAACAAGGAAGCAACGATTAAAGTGTACATAACGGGGAGTCGGCGATAAAATTTGATTGTAAATATGCTTATGGAAATATTGTTTAGTAGTAAAAATAGCGATTTCACGCAAATGTTAATGGATTAATTAAACTACAGTTGAGTCCGGATATAACGAACTTGAAAAATGAACTAAAACTGGTTTGTTATATCCGGAGTTCGCTATAACCGAATAATAATACAAAAACA